AAAATTTGGGGAGCAGTATTAGGGCCTATATTTAGGTGTAGTTATGCAGGGGAGCAATTGGTGTCTCTGTGTTTGTATTTTCCCCCAAGAAACGTGGTACTCTTGTGTTGGCACAGAAAATTTTGTAGAAATGACGATTCTGTATAGATGTGTCCTTCCAGCCCATGGGAAGTGAAATGTAAAAGTATTTTTGAGGACGTGGTGATTTTCAGTAGAAAGATGGCTTTGGGAATCCTTATAACCCTTTCCATCTTCTAATCCCCACTGATACCTAGTGGCTGAATTATGTAGCACCTTTCTCACTGTATAACATAATAGAACTGCATGTAATGTCCCCCCTCCCAATTATCTTTCGCCTCCATCAGAAAAACGGACCAGAGATTCTGTTATAGGTTGCTGTCTGTAAGAATGAATGAAGAAATTAGGCTCTGGTTTCATTGACAAACACTTTGGGATTTGCTCCACAATTATCATGGGTTAATTCAAAGTATTTTTCAATGATCACACCATACAAATGCCAAAGGGAATCTGACTAGCCCTTTCTCCTTCTGATTCAGAGTTTCATACACACCTTGCCATTGGGGCTTCTACTTTTTTTTTAAAGCCCATTATTCAAAGGGTGTTTTTCCTATGTAATGGTTCATTTCATTCTGCAAAAGAATGGAGGTCATGACTCTAGATGATTTTTCTGGTAATATAGTAAGTTGGTGTGTGATATTTTGGGACAGCAGGAATACTCATCCCACATCTTTCTCTCTAGTTGTTCCAAAGCATTAAAAAAATTAAACAAGCTACCAAGTTTAGTGCTAGATGACTTTATCTCTGCACTGATATAGGAGTTTAGTGATAGATCATCTTGGTGGGGAGAGGGTGTTATAAGAAAAAAGAACTTGGGATTGCCAGGTGGGCAGGATCAAAGGAATGGGCACAAGCCGGGAGTGTGTATCAGATTGCATTAGACTGAGGATAAGAGTGGACAGTAGCACTGAAACAATCTGGGGACTTTGTGTAATCACCTATACCAATTGCACCCATAAAAGAGACTGAATCAAGCCACAGTGAATCCAAATTGCTCTGGTTCTGTTTGCCAGTATAGCTGTAGCTCCACTCACTGGTCAGTGGTCTTACTGACTACCCACAAACTACTTTTACTTTTAACTTCCTCTACTGTATTATGTGCGCAAATGACTTTGTTGTGGCACAGAGCTCTCTTAATGTTGTTCTGTCTCTTATATTAAGGGAAGTTCGTGTCAGCTGGAATACATCTGCAAATGATCAGTTTCCTTGCTCAAAATTCATCTTGGGTGTAGGACATAACGCAGTAGGTGAGCAATGCAAACCAGTGATCTGTTTTCTTTGTCTCCCTATTTAAGTGACCACGAGAGTCTTGCTGATTCACTTTGTGTGTATCTTGAGTGAGCAAAATAATTTTTAGATCATGCAATCCTTGTAAACTGAACTGCAGTACTAAATGAAGACCTCTCTATTGATTGAGAGCGGTATAGCGGACACTGCAGTGCTACACAAAAGAAATCTGGTTTTATTCACAGTCTTCTTATCTGCCTTTGTGTTGAATTCCGGAAGCTGGGAAGAAGTTGGTTCTGTCCAACTATGGAATGAGTGGTGCAGAACATCAAACACGACCAGAGTTCTTCCAACAGACTCATTCTGTTCGTTTTATCGGTTCATTTCAGATCCCACGGTAAGTGATATGAAATATGTGCGCATTTTGTCTTTCCGCCTGCCTTCCACCCCAGCTGATAAAACCATAGTTGATTTAGTTGACTTAATTTAGCAAACTGCTGCTATCTTTGTGTTAATCTGATGTGATTTTGTGCCTGAGGTGTCAAACCTAAGCTATACCAGTGCATGTGCTTGAGTTTCACATTGTGCTGCATATTTCAGAGTATTTTTGAATTAGGATGTTGGTCTGTTTTTACTCATGTGCTTTTGTGAAGTCTTGTCTTCTTGTATCTGGCTTCTTGTAACCTGGCTTTCCCGGTGTCATCTAGCAATGTGAAGGCCAGGGTGGGAGGAATCCAGACAATTTCAAGTTGCAAGGATATTTCTGTTAAATGGTGTCCATTTTAGGTTTGGTTAAGAGGCAGTGTGGTGCACAGTGAGACCTGGTAAATGATCACTCAAATGTGCGTTCTGCTGTGTTTAGGAGTACATACTCCCTTGGAAGTGCCTAAAGAAGTGGTTCCCAATCTTGGGTCCCTAAATGTTCTTGAACTACAATTCCCTGAAGTCTTCACCACTAGCTGTTCTGGCCACAATTTCTGGGAGTTGTAATCCAAGAACATTTGGATTACCCAAAACTGGGAACCACTGACCTACAGGATTATAGTGTTCAAGAATAATTCCTTTTGATGAGTTATAATTAATATAATGTTAATGAAATTTATGAAGCATTTACTGCTGTTTTCTGTCTTTCAAGGTTTTACTGTGCCAGTGCAATTGTTACGTGGCTGAAGACCAACAGTTTCAGTGGGTTGAAAAGGTAAAAAGTGTGTGTTGGGATGGGGAAGAGGAAGAGAAACCCGAGGGGAAAATGTGTTAACCACCCTGAAAATGTATTTGTGAGTTCATACTAGGCATCAGCCAGATGATGAATCTGTAACTGTGACCTTAAAAACTGGCATTGCCTTTTAAATTGAGCTAACTGGAGATTATGGTATCTGGGCATTTTTTCCCATCAGTTATAGGAACTGGACATGTGTTAATGTATAAATTACCAGAACCAGATGTGCTGAGGGATTAAATCCAATTCCCAAAGAGGTCCTATGGCAGTGGAATGTCTCTGTGAGATGGCATGCTCTTGCTGATGCCCATGTGAACAGATAGGTAGATGCCTACTCAAAAGTAAGTCCTTAGTTACTAGTTAACTAGCTTACTCCTGGTAAAGTAGGTATAGGATTCCCTAAAGGGTTGGCTCACCAGCAGTAGTACAGGCGCCACTTCCCAGATTAATGTGGTAACACAGTTGGGCAGTTTTGCAGGGAAAGAACTAAACTCATATCAGCTGTTAGTGTCAATCAGTCCCAGCCAGCAACTCTTCTGGGTTTTATTGTACTTACCCAGGAATTGTATCTTCATCCTAGGTTTTTGGATGCCTACAGAAGACTGACTTGCAAGTATTGGTTCTCTCATCATGTTCCATTACCGATTACAAAACAAGAGAATCAACACTAATGCTTCCCTCTCCTTTTCTGAGAGCATTAAAGACAAAAGAGTTTAAAGACCAAGTCTTCTGCCCACTTCTAGAACAGCCAAATATTGTACAGGATCTCCCTGCAGCAGGTATACAATTGATTGTTTCTCTCAGGGTGTTTCCCTTGTGCAGCCATACTGTTGATTTTTGATAATACCCATTTAACTGATAAGAATAATGCCAGTTCCTTTGTAATGGCAGCTTCTGTATAAAGGTGGCTGTTATCTAGGTCAGGGGTCCCCAACCTTTTTCACCCTGTGGACTGCCTGGGGAAGGCGGGGCACCACCTGCGCCTGTGTGCTTACGCAAACGAGCACGTGTATGCGCAGATGGTGGCAGAGCACTTGGGTGGGCGTGCTCGCTCATGGGCATGCGCAAACAGCAGCACGGCACTCATGCACATGCACAAACAGCGGTGCAAGCACGTTTATGCGCAAATGGTGGCAGGGCACTTGGGTGGGCGTGCTCACTCATAGGCATGCGCAAACAACAGCATGGCGCTCATGCACATGCGCAAACAGCGGTGCGGTGCGGTGCTTGCATGGGTGTGCTGGAGTGCACGTGCATGCGCAAATCAGCTGTGCAGGGGTGAGTGTGTGCAGGGGTGGTGGGAGGTCTGTCTGGCTCAGGCCACAGACCGTCATTGGGCTGCGGACTGGGGGTTGGGGACCTCTGATCTAGGTAACTGCATTAATATAACATGTTATATTATACACAATAGTGATTGCCAAGTTATTCCAGTTTGGTTCAAAATAGGTTATACCAGACCAAAAACCAAAGAAATGAAAGACAACATAGTGTTGCCAAAACTTGTAAACTTTACTTTTTGACTCTAATTTTCCAGAACCTCTCAACCAAGAGGTCAACTTTTTTTGGCATGTTCACAGCACTCCAGGTGTTCCAGGACTCAAGGCGGATATTGGGAATTGTAGTCCAGAGAAGTAACCCTTCTGTCCTGGGAAATTCCCAGCATGCCAGTGTTTCAAATGGCTGAAATTTGGTTCCAGCCCTTCTGATCCAGGATAACAATAGAACGGTTTATATTAACACTGGTTACTAAAACAGCACATGAAGGCAGATGCCCCCTAAATGCACTGGCTTTGCATCATGAAACATGGCCCTAGATTAGAGAAAAAGCAGTTGTACACTAGCTATCCAGGCACATGTACTTGAAGAAATAATCTGAGTCACAGAACTTTGGGTCCTATGAAGAAACCATGGCCACATTGCTGGCCATGCAGTCATTTGCACGTCCTTGCTGCTGGGTGGACCCATGCAGTTTAGGGCTGGAGGATGTCACAGCTTCAGATAGGCTGTGAAGCTCTGTCATAGAGTCCTCGTACTCTCTTCTCAGGAGATTAGTCTTGCAAATAATGGAAGTGTTATACATGTGCTTCAGCCCCATTAAACAGAATACTTTGCTGTGTTAGTTCATCTAAGGCAAGGGCAGGTCTCTAATCAATTCTCTCTTTTTCTCCTCCTCTGATGATGTGTAGTTCTCAGTTACTGTCAGGTGTGGCAAATCCCCGCAGTGTTATATCAGTGTTATGCTGATACTTTCAACCTGGATTTAGAAGCAGTTGAAGCTTTCAAGCCTCTCTTGTCTTCCACAACTCTGCAGAGTTTAGTAAAGGTAAGGCTTAATTACTCAGTGTGTGCTATATAGTCTCATGTCAGGCTGCCAGAGGCTGAAGGCTGCTTATTGCCTTAGCACTTCCTGTGGAGGAAAATTGGCGTCATCCTCACTATGGGCAAAGTTCAGCATTTGCTGCAAGCACACCAACAAGAGCCTTCTGCTTGCATCATTTCCATGAGTTTTAATTTACCTTTCAACTTCTGGGCTAACTTCCAGAAAGTAGCAGGTAACAGTCAGACCTTCATGCTTGTGTCCTTACTCAGGAACTACCTGATTTCTCCAGATGGATTAGACATGTTGTTGTTTAGTCGCTAAGTCATATCTGACTCTTCATGACCCTATGGACCTGAGCACGCCAGGCCCTCCTGTCTTCCACTGCCTCCCGGAGTTGGGTCAAAGTCATGTTAGTAGCTTTGATGACACTATCCATCCATCTCGTCCTCTGTTGTCCCCTTCTCCTGCCTTCACACTTTCCCAACATCAGGGTCTTTTCCAGGGGGTCTTCTCTTCTCATGAGGTGGCCAAACTATTGGAGCCCAGCTTCAGGATCTGTCCTTCCAGTGAGCACTTGGGGTTGATCTCTTTCGAAATGGATAGGTTTGTTCTCTTTGCAGTCCAGGGGACTCTCGGGAGTCTCCTCCAGCACCACAATTCAAAAGCATCAATTCTGTGGCGGTCAGCCTTCTTTATGGTCCAGCTCTTACTTCCATACATTGCTACTGGAAAAACCATAGCTTTGACTATGCGGACCTTTGTTGGCAAGGATTAGACATACACTTACATTATTCTTGATACAAAGACTGTGAAAGGAAGTCAAGTGTCAGGTTTGGGTCTGGCTTATTTGTAGATAGATAGACAGACAGACAAATGGGTATAGATAAATAGCACTTTCAATCTGCTTCTTAGCCGAAAAGTGTCTTGGAGTGGGTTACGTATGACCAGTTCTTAAATATTTTGAATTAAGAGGTAGATAAGAATCTTCAAATAAAAACCTCCAAGAGCACATCTTCATTTATTGTTCCTTAGGTTAAATAATGAAAGGAAGTATGGCAATTAAAATCCAGGATGTGGATTAAAACCATTTTAAAATTTCCAGAATCCTATTTTTTACTTTGGAGTAAGTGAAATGTAGTAAGCTATGGCAACAAATCGCAGCTAAGTAACAGTGTGCCTGGTTGTAATCCAATTACTTGATCAAGCATCTTTTGCAAAACTTGTTCAAGCATCAAGTTTGCTAATGCAATTTATTTATTCTGGAGTAAAATTCTAGTAGAATTCTGGCCAGTGACTCCAGAATATTTACTTAATTTATTTACTTCAGAATAAGTATTGCCATGTTATGATTCACTATTATCAGCAAGCCTTTTCTTCCTTTGTTGTTTTTTTGTAATTAGTGTGTGATCAGCAGACTAATTAAACAATTTGACAGGCAGCCAAGAGTAGGAAAATAAGATGACCAACCATTCTTACACAAGTCTTTTTCTTATTTTACCTAGGAAGTCTCAAAAAACACAGAACTACTGACAAAATTGGCAACTACTAATGACATTCATAACATCTACACATAATGGAGAATTTCTCTCTGATGAGTACTTTCAAGTATGGTGATTCTTTAGTGTTTGTAAATATGAGTTGTTTGCTTAGCAGCATTTGAATATACAGTTTTGAAAAATTATCTTTTGTATCATATCCAGAGTATTTCGGAGGAGGGGGCGGTCTGCTCAGTAACATTAATTAAAAGGTGATTTTTTAATAAATTGAATCTGTATCTTTTTTCCCCTACTCATACAACAAAGGCAGGGTACTTTTCCTCCAGTAATCAAATCTATGTTATAATGCACCAAGGACTGTTTTGGGGTGGGTGGGTTAAGGGAAATGATCTGCTTGGAATTGGCTATGCCAGTCTCCTCTCACAGAAACAGGGTGGACGTAGAGATCTCTGAATGCCATTGGCCGAGTCTCTGGGGCTTTGGAGAGCGACAAGAGAGGTCAATGGATCTAGGAGACACCAGAAGATGCTGGCACCAGAGGACTGAAAGGGCAAAATGCCAAGTGAAGCCTGGGTTAAGAAAAAGGGAGTGGAACAGTTTTTGGAGTGAGAGGACTGAAGTGAGGAGAATGGCAGAATGGTGGGGTAGAGAGAGAAAGAAAGGTAGTGGCACTGATCCACAGGAACAAAACAGTGTCTAATCCTTTGTGCAATCAACTGGGAGTAAACGGCATTGAATTCAGTGATGCCTACTTCAGACTGAATAGGTTCAACTTGTACAACACGCTGAGCTCCAAGAAGAGATCCCAGCTGAAAAGCAACCTTTAGGTTTTTTTTGTTAGAAATGCATATGCACATGCAAAGTAATGTTGACCATTCAAACTGTGGAAATGAAGTTGAAATCTCATCAAAGGATGGGAAACAGGTGTCCAGAATCTGCTTAATCATATTCTTTATAACTGATTTTATGGCCAGTATCCTGTTGCATAGCTCCACCAGCACAATCACAATGGGAGGGAAGTATTAAAAGAATTCCTGCTTCAGCTTCAGGTTGTGTACAACTCACCTGTAGCAGGGGGTCGTCCCCCTTAAGCAACTTATTACAAGACAGAACCAAAGACAAAATGACAGAACACTGCTACTTGTCACTTACAGTCCATAACTGAGACCTCTCACATGCATCCTAAGTGACCTCCAACCCATCCTGGACAAGAACACTTCATTCTCCAAAGACCCATACTTGCCTACAGAAAACCCCCCAACCTCAAGCAAATGCCAACACAGAATGGACCACAAAACAACAATACAGATGGGGACTACACCCTGCCACATACCCAGATGCCAACTCTGCCCACACATCTCTTCTGGCAACACAATCACGGGATCTAACAATTGGACACAATATCAAAAGCAGCTTCACTTGCTCCTCTACTAATGTGTTCTTACAATATCTATGCTGATGACACCCAGCTCTGCATCTCCTTTTCTCCAATAACTGGATGCCATTTTGTCCCTTCAGCACTGTCTGGAGGCCGTATTGAAACGGATGCAGGTGAATGGTCTGAGGCTGAACCCAGACGAGATGGAAGTCCTGAGGGTGGGTGGCCCCGATGTCAGTGGTTTGGTGAACTCTTTCTCTTTTGGGGTGTGTGTGTGTGTGTGACTCTCACCACAAATAATTCAGTTTGCAGTCTGAGGGTCCATCTTGACCTGGTGCTTAACATGGAGACCCAGGTACTGTCAGTGGTCCATACCGCCTATTTCCATCTTCGGTGGATTGCCCAGCTGCATTCCTATCTTGATGTGGAGGCCCCTCACCACACTGGTCCATGCACTTGTAGTCTCAAGATTAAACTACTGTAATGTGCTGTACATGGGGCTACTTTTGAGATAGATGCAGAAGCTTAAAATTGTGCAGAACGCTGTGGCCAGACTTCTTATTGGGGTGAGAAAACATCAACATATCTCCCCTACTCTGGCTGCCCTGCATTGGCTGCCCGTTCGTTTCCACATTGATTTCAAAGTACTAATGATGACATATAAAGCCCTAAACGGTTAGGACCTCAATATCTGGTGGAACACCTCCTCCCACCTAGATCTACCTGAATCACTCACTTTAGTCAAGATGGGCGGCCTAATGCCGAAAGAGGCCCGAAGAGAAAGAAAGAACAAGAAAGCGGGCCTTCTCGGCAGTGGCCCCTCACCTCTGAACCAATCCCCAGAAATTTGTCTGACTCCCTTGCTGGGTGTTTTTAAGAGCAAACTTAAGACCTGGCTCTTTAGGCAGGCCTTCCCTCCTGTCAATACCCGATTTATTTGCTATCTTCAATTGTATTAATGTTTTATTTTATTTTATTATTCTTGAGTGTTAGCAGCCCACAGTAGACTTCGGTCTAGATGGGCGGGATATAAATTATATATAAAAAATAAATCTTTTGCCAACAATGCCATTCTGCACACTATATAGGACAAACAGGACAATGTCTATGGAAATGGATCAACGGCCACAAGTTTGACGTTATTAACCACAATACACAGAAACCTGTCTCCAACCATTTCCATCTACCAGGTTGCTCTGTGGAAGATTTAAAAGTCACCATTTCAGACCAAGATCATTACAAGTCAAGAAGACAGAGGGAAATACTGCAGCTAAAATAAAATGTTTACACATGATGAACACCCATAGAAATGGATTGAATATAAGCCTAAATTTCTTAAGCCATTACCAAATGTAACACTTCTACATTCTTCCACTGCCATTTTCTTCACTACTACCATGCCCATCTCTCACCACAAGCCTCTAAGGTAAACCTGTCTATATTATTCCCTACATTAATACACAGGATTCCTCTGCTAACATTTTTCATTTTCTTTTCCCTCTTGAGGTTTATTGCATCTTCAAACCACCCTTCCTGTCCCCTCCTCATCTCTTCTCAGACCTGGTGTCTGTTTTCTGTCTTCCTGAAGTGTTTTGACATGACTGTAAAGCAAAAAAAAAATTACTGCATATAACCAATGTGAAACTGATATTTCATATACATTTCATTCTGTCTCTTAATGTCTGATGAAGTGGACGTGTCTACGAAAGCTTACATTAAAATATAATGGTTAGTTTTGAAGGTGCCACACATTTTTGTCTTTTTGTTTTGTTTTGTTTCTTTGGATTTTGCCTGATACGCTTGCACAGACTGACAGGACTACCTCTTCCAAAACTGGTATTTCTCAGTTACATTTACTTTTAAATTAGAAACATGTATATATTAAGAACTGATGAAATAAAACATTTTGTTTTGGATGGAAATCCCACTGTTTTCCGGAAGTTAAATGTTTTGGGCAGCAAGCTGAGGAAAGGAATTTGGAAGTAGTTTAGATATCTCTTTAATACCATTGGGTTCTTTCCTCTTCCTCCCAGTTACTTTTTGGTTTTACGTTTTTGATTTTCAGTTCAATTATGTCTTCTACATGCACTCAGTTTATATGGTTATTAACAGTGGTAGCAGCTGTCTTTCCAACTGGATGATCTGTAGAGGTTTTCTTCAGCAAACTTTGCTATATTTGTCCTCACACGGGCATATAGTCACCACATCAAGTTCTGTATCTTACTACAAATTAATTTCTAGGCCTTGACTGGCATCAGATCAGGGTTGTCAATAAGTCAGGAACATTAAAGCACCACAACATTCTGTTGTCTGTGCAGTGGCTCCTGCCAGCCACGCTTTGGCGCAAGGAGTTTCCGAAGGTTGGGAGGGTAGCATCGGCTCCCTCCCAGGGCCTCCTTTGACTTATTAATTATTTATTACTGGTTACTTTTACTGTTCAATTGATTTGTTTTAAAAGCAGAAGTGAAGGGGGAAAACGGCGGCTTGCTTAGTCCCAAAGGGTTTAAAAGATAAAAGAAAGAAAAGAATAATAATAATTATAAATAATACAACAGTTTAAACAATGATTCATTGAATTAATATTAAATTTCGGAGAAGGAAGGAGAGGAGAGGAAAAAGGATAGGAAGGGGATTCAGTGGTGCTATCTAGCAGGAGTAAGTTTAACTTCGGAGCGGTGCCCGGTTTTGTTTGCCTCCGCGTTTGGCGGGCACCCCCCATCCTTTTTCCTATAGAAGTAAATTGTGTGGGAACGTTTCCCCCTCTTCAAATCTTAATGGTCGGAAGGCTTCGGAGGCTAGTGGACCGGAGGGTCGAATAGCCAAGTGAGCAATATGTTTTTTTAAAAAGAAAGAAAGATATAAATAGGTATTAAAATAAAAATACTATAATAAATTAAATAGAGATATAAATAAATTATAATATTTGATAAAAATTTTAAAATTAAATCAATTAATTAATTACTTATTTAATTTATTCAATAAGGCGCATTAATCAGTGGGATATTTTAATAAGCTAATTAATTATTTATAAATATAAATTAGCTGATAATAATTAACTGGGGTAAATTCATTGATTTAAGTAGTTAATTGAGTAGTTGATTAAATCTAATATTGATTGGAATAATAGTCTAATTAATCAATTGATAAGTGATAAATAAATAGGCATTGATTATAGGGAGCATTTGATTAAAGGGTACTTTAACCAAGGCACTTCTTTGAAGGGTGGTTGGTTAGACCCTCCCTGGTCTCAAGCGTAAACACTTTGGTGCAAACTAAAAGTTGTCAGTTAAGGCACATAAGTAATAACACGGCACCTTTGCCAGGAAATAGTGGTTAATTTGCATCCAGGCTCTGTTACGCTTCCACCTGGGTTTTTGAGTTACTGAGCTATTCCTTCCTCTTAATTAACATATAGCACAGGGTAACAATGGCATTGAGAAAGGGACAGGGCAACAGGAAGGGGAAACAACCAGCCAAGAAAAGGCCAGCCCCTCAGGTGTCTCCCCCGCAATCCTCCTCAGATGAGGAATTCTGGCCGGTGTGACAAGAATTGGAGGAGAAAATCTCGGCTTTAGGGGCCCAATAGATGGCAAGGCAGGCTCCCCAACCAAGCGAGGTTCAACCATGCAGATCAGCCAGCGAGACTAAGAGCCAGCGAAAGGCTAAATTAAAAGCAGTGGCACAGGATCTAATGGACAGGTTTGCTGCCCTTGACTCTGAACAGATCCCAGATGTTTCTGCCAGACGAGATGCTGATGGGACCTCATCGACTCCAAGGTCACGAAGCATGGAAAAGAGAAGGTCATCAACTTCCGGGATGTCTGAATCAGCGTCAGCTTGCCAGGAAGGACAGGATGAGGTGGAGGAGGTCAGCCTGGACAAACCATATATGGTGGAGGAACCTTGCAGGGCTACGACTTCATCTGGTGAGTTAACTACTGCACCAGGAAGCCATACACCTCTCCCTGCCTGGCCTTGGGCCAGCGGTGGTCCATACAGTTATACAGCATACACACCATACAACACACTGAATACAGGGCTAGCCAACGCTGCCTGGCCATGCACCAAACCTCAATTCAGCAGTTGGGGCATACCCTATGTTTCTTCTCCCCCACTGGCACAACCAGACAACATAGCTAATGCAGGGGTATGGCCGTATCCATCGGTGCCCAACAAAAGCTATAATACAGTCCCATTAGGGGCCTTACCATATGGAGACTACTCCATGTCCCTAGGGGAATCACATAACCCCGGCTACAAAGGAGAAAATCTGAAAAAGCAAATATGTAGATGTATTCGACCTGCTTAACAAGAACGTTGAGAAGAAAGATCTAGACAAAGAAGATAAAAAAGAGGAAGAAAAGTGTAGAAGGAAAAGGCCAGATAGGACATGGGCCAACTGGCTTCCTGGGTTTCTGATATATGCAGGAGTTATAGTTAAAGCCCAGCCTTGGAGGACTCAAGCCCTCTTTCAATAATTAGATATTATATAGAGAGACTTTGCAGGCCAGGCATGGCTTCAATATGACCAAACGTTCTGCATGCAGAGTGCTATCCATCCAAACATGCGCTGGGATGAGCCCCAACCGTGTTTGTGGCTTCAGCACATGATCGCCAGGCCAAACACTGGCGACAGATTTGATAGTGGTCATTTGAATAGAAAAATTGCCACTATTCAAATTTCCTGCCCTGGTGCGGGGCAGGCGGTTCAACCTTGCATGCCTTGCTTTGAATACAATTCTAGGGGATTTTGCACAAGGAAGCCATGTAGATTTAGGCATGAGTGCATTACCTGTGGAGGGCAGCACTCAAATTCATCATGCTTCAAAGCAGGTGCCCAGCATCAGAACAAGGGTGCAGGAGGCGGCAAAAAGCCTAACAGTGGCGGGGTACACCTGGAAAAGGGACCTAGCCAATTAAGGTTAGGGTTTTAGAAGAATGGTTAAGTATTTACCCTCGTAAAGAAGATGCCAGATATTTGTTGGACAGCTTTAGATATGGGTTCAGAATCCCGGCAGAAGGAGAATGCAAAGTGTTTATTACCTGGAACTTCCAATCAATATCTGGCATGGAAAGTATTGTTCAGAATAAGATTGATAAGGAAGTCAACAGCCAATTAAGGTTAGGGTTCTAGAAGAATGGTTAAGTATTTACCCTCGTAAAGAAGATGCCAGATATTTGTTGGACAGCTTTAGATATGGGTTCAGAATCCCGGCAGAAGGAGAATGCAAAGTGTTTATTACCTGGAACTTCCAATCAATATCTGGCATGGAAAGTATTGTTCAGAATAAGATTGATAAGGAAGTCAAGGAGGGTAGGGTCCTTGGATCATTCCCAACACCACCCATTGAGAACCTGAGGGTTTCTCCTTTAGGCATAGTGCCTAAAAAGGACCAGCTCAAGTTCTGGTTAAGACCACCACTTGTTCTTTTCAGAGGGGACGTCAGTTTATGACGCCATTACCCCCAGAACTTTGCACCGTTAGGTACGCTTCATTCGACGAGGCAGTGAAAATGATTAGGAGGTGCGGCGTGGGGGCTGAACTGGTGGAATGTGATATTAAATCAGTGTTATTTCACCCCCTTCATTTCAACTTGTTGGGTTTTCAGTTTCAAGGTTCATTTTACATAGACAGGGATTTACCCATGGGCTGCTCAATGTCGTGCACTGCTTTTGAAAAATTTAATACATCTATAGAATGGAAGATTAGGCATAGGGTTTGCTGTAATTCTATGGCCCATTACCTTGACAACTTCCTTTTCTGTGGGAAAAGGAATTCAGGTAAATGCAAAAATTTTTGGATACCTTTCAGATATTGGCAAAAGAGCTGGGGCTGCCCCTTGCCAAAGAAAAGACAGAGGGTCCAGCCACATCCCTCACCTTTCTAGGTATAGAACTTGACATGACACAGCAAACTTTGAGGCTACCTCATAATACAGTAAATTGGTGGACCTTAGGCTTAGGATCGAGTCTTTATTATGTAAGAAAAAGGTATCACTTAAGGAGCTACAGGAAATAGTCGGGCACTTGAACTTTGCCTGTAGAGTAGTGGCACCAGGACGTGCATTTCTCCATCACCTGTGTGGTGCTATGAAAGGTCTTCACTGACCAATGCACAGAACCAGGGTAACATGAGGTATGAGGGAAGATCTCCTAGTATGTAGTCAATTCCTAGAGAAATTCAACGGGATTTCCTTTTGGAAAAATGAAATAGGTTTGAGAGCAGATTTTCAAGTGCACTTGGACGCTGCTGGATCATCAAGATTTGGAATTTATTTCCGAGGTAGATGGTGTTCAGGCATATGGCCAGAAGAATGGCATCAGAAAGGCATCACAAGGGACCTGACCTTTTTGGAATTTTTCCCAGTTGCGGGTGCATTATGGCTCTGGGCAAAGGAATGGTCAAATTCAGTGTGACAACAAAGCAGTCGTTTATATCATAAACAACCTTATGTCACACTCAGAATGGGTCATGACATTGGTCAGGGCCTTTATATTATAGGCGCTGCAGTTTAACATATTGGTGCATGCCCAGCATGTTCCAGGATTAGACAATAGGATAGCTGATGCTCTATCACACCAACAGATTGAATGGCTCAGGGAGGTCTGGCAAATTGGTGTGAAGATGCATCCAGAGCAATAGGTTTGGCCCTGGCACCAAGGACAAGAAAGGGTTAGCCATGAGTATAGAATTTCAGGACTTTAGGAAGATGGTTAACCTGGAGCTGGTTGGCTGGCACCAGTTGAGCATTTACAGCAGTTTATAGTATACCTTAGCAGAAAAGGGCTGGTGTCAGGCACTATCCAAGGTAAGCTGTCGGCCTTGGTATTCCACGCAAAAATGGCTATAGGGATTTTTCAGGGGACTATTGAATAAGGAAAATGTTAGAGGGATGGTCCAAAGAAAGGGGGAAGAATGCTGGACACTAGGACACCTATTTACCCTCCCTTACTGGAGCGCATATGTAAGAAATGGACGCTCCTTTGTAGGGACAAATATGAAAAAAATATTATTTGAAGCAGCTTCTCTAATTGCCTTATTCGGTGCCCTCAGAATCAGTGAACTGGTAGCTGGGGGTAAAGCAGACAGATTCAGACTAGCCCTACAATAGCAGAATGTTAAAGTCCATGCGGGAAAAGTACAAATTTTGATTAGGCGATCCAAGGCTGATCAAACAGGCAAGGGTAAGCAAATTGTCCTTGGGCAATGCAATATAGAGCCTATATGCCCAGTTAAAGCCACACAAGCATATTTAGAACTCAGAGGACAAGAGGCAGGATATTTCTTTCAGCATGCTGATAAGTCATCTCTGACTAAATGTCAGTTTTGGAAGTTGACAGACTTAGCTTTAAATAGAGTAGATGTTATGGGCAGAAGGTTTGGAACCCATTCGTTTAGGATTGGTGTGGCTTCCACTGCAGCAGGCTTCCACTGCAGCAGGCCTGGGTTATAGCTCTGAGGACATTAAGTGATTAGGCCAGTGGTCATCTTCAAGTTATCAAAGATATATACAGTAAGAACCCTACCTAATGTGTAAGCAGGGGCCTGATCTTGTGTCTTTATAGGTCCTCTAGGGTCTGGAAGACGAAGGCACATTGTGATCATCGGTCACAGCTACATACATTGGGCAGAGCGTTATGCTGCCACATCCTCGTGGGGGAGTGATTTGGGGCTTGGAGCCCATGCGCACATCACTTGGAAAGGGCTGTGTGACATGCAGTGGAACCAGTTGTGCAGGTTGGCGGCATTCGGCCAGTTTCCACCAGACGTGTTGGTAGTGCACCTTGGAGGCGATGATTTGCCCAAACTTGCTGGTAAGGCGTTGATCCTGGACATTATTCGCAGCCTTAAATGGTTGAATGCCAAGTATCCTACTATGCGGATCGTGTGGTCCACAATCATTCCTCGGTTAGCCTGGGAAGGCGCCAGGAATATTTGCAATGTTAACACGGCCCGGCGGCGCGTTAACAGAGAAGTATGCAGATTTGTCTGCAGCGGCCTAGGATCGGTGATAGGTCACCAAAGGATCCAAATGAATAAGTCCGAATTTTTTAGAAAAGACGGAGTCCACCTTTCTGATTTGGGCTTGGATGTCTTCTTGGAAGACATCAAAGGGGGCCTTCTTGTCGAGCTCAAGCAACTCGGTGACAGTCATGGGACATAGTGTGGCTAGTCCCTATGGTGTGGTGGGTAGTGCGGAAAAAACAGGTATTTTCCGTGTGTCCCACTGTAATTTCAGGTAAGTCAATAGTGCATCCGACCTGCTGGCACTGTGGATCGTGCGATTACAGTGCCTGTGGTGGGAAGATGCACTGGGCCACTTCTGGACCAACAGTCATTGAGTAAAGATGGCCTGAGGTCTGGGGGTGCTTATTAGCAGCCGGCCAGGTTCCTGCTGTCTTTAAGACCGCTGGAACCTGGGGCCAGGGACTCACCCATTTGTTGTTAAGGGGTATTTCGATACCTCTGCCATTTACCTGTTTCCACACTGCATCGGGTCCCCTCCTTTTGCCAAAGGATGACAAATTTGAATTGGAATTTAATTCAATAAAGCGTGGCCCGTATTTAACTCATATCTTTGTCTCACGTCTTTATTCCGGGGTTCGGAGAGCAAAGTACCAACAGTGCAAACCCTTGAGCATCAGTTTGCTTGAATGGGAAATTAATGCAATGATTCTATAGTTACTACACTCTTTGGCTTTTGTGGCAGTCACCCCACATCACTCCTGTCAATCACATTCAGGGTCTCATTTACATTAGCCTATGAGAGGAGTGAAGGGGCAGAGTCACCAGATATAAGGGGCTTGGCAAGTTAGTAAAAGAAAGGGAAGTTGGTGGTGGAGAGAAATTGCAGAGAAAGAGATATATAGTCAGGGAGATAGTGATAAGAGCTAATTAACAGTAATAAGCTGGGTAAGATCAGTACATATACTAAGTGGTGATTATTTATGCAGAACATTATCTATCTGACACTTGAATGATTTGATTATAAGCATTAAATAAAAGAACATCTGTGATCCTGAACAACTTAATACACCTTAATAAATAAATAATTTTTATTGGCAGTAATCAGACAAGTGGTTGTCTACAGTTATTGGTATTGTGGATAAAAGAAAATCCACTGGTGGCAGTGAGGAAAAGAAGAAAAGTCTCAAGTGGTCAGAAGGCGTAGCGTGAGCTCCTTGTGTGGTGAACCAGGCAGGGGCCACGTGGGTAAACGTCACCGCTTTTTTTTTTAGATTGAAATATATATTCAACATTTCATGTCTGCAGGTAATTGATTTGCTTTCCATATTTGTTAACAGTATTCTTGTTCAGATTTTGATGGATTCAGTCTCTATAGCTCAGATTGGTTCTATTTGTATCCCATTAACCCTTAGTGATTTATTTATTCCAAATACTTTGAGTGGCTTTCACTGCACTTTCTAATATTGCGTGTTCTTCATGAAATCATTCTTGCAGAAGAATCTGCCATCACTGCATCTCTTCTGCACAGTTCTTCAGTATTCTGTCATGTACTGGTCAGATAATACATTTTCCTATTGATCTTTATTCTATGTTTAAATTCCCCTGTGACTTCTTGGCTTTTATGGAAAAAAACCCCCCCCCCCCCGTTTTAATGTACTCTTCTATTTCTTTGCACTGGTTATTGTAACAGTTCTCTTTGTCAGTACATGATAGTCCTTAAAAGATATATTCAGGATTATGACCATATTTCTGTCACCTCTTACTCTTTGTCACCTCCTGCTGAGGAATTGGCCTTCCAGATGTTTGGATCATAACTCCCATAATCCTTGCCCAACTGGCCATGTGGGCTGAGTCTTCTGAAAGTTGAAGTGCAACATGTCTGGAGATCCCCAAAAGGCTTTATTTGTGGTTTGGAGATGCTTGTATTACCTGCCATGAGGATTTTCCCCATCCTTTATTTATTTATTAAAAATTGTCCTGCCTTTCTCTTAAAAGAGTACCCAAGATGGCTAACATCATTAAAAAGGCAAAAGCTAAGAACATTAACAATACAAATGCTTAAAAAGAATTAAACAAATATTCTATTAAAAGTGATAAAATCAATACTAAAACACCTTTAAAAACAAGAGAGCACAAAACACAAGTGGTGACAATGCACTTTTGAAAACCCCTCACAAACAGCCAGTCACTCAGGGAAAGCCTGCTAGAAGAGCACAGTCTTTGCTGCTTGCAGAAGGACAGCAGAAATGGGCCAGCCTGGAGTTCCAGAGTCTGAGAGCAGCAACAGGGAAGGCCCTTTCCCATATCCCCATCAAGCACACCTGTAAGGGTGGTGGGACCAAGAGAAAGGACTCCCCTGATGATCTTAACTAGACATGGAAGTTTGTATGCATATCCTGGGTGTACGAACACAAAGCTTGGCACCACAGGTGCCACAGTGGTCCCTTCGCACCCCAGAGAACCAGCCTGGTCCACTCACCAGGTTCCTCACGGTGTGTGTGTCCGACAGCAACGAGCACACCTGTAAGGGTGTTGGGACCAAGAGAAAGGACTCCCCTGATGATCTTAACTAGACATGGAAGTTTGTATGCATATCCTGGGTGTACGAACACAAAGCTTGGCACCACAGGTGCCACAGTGGTCCCTTCGCACCCCAGAGAACCAGCCTGGTCCACTCACCAGGTTCCTCACGGTGTGTGTGTCCGACAGCAACGGCACCATGCCAATCTCAGACACAGTCCCACAGCCACTGCCCCACCTCTCCCCTCAGCCAACCACTATGTCACTGCCATCGGATGTGCATGCTGCGAGGAGCCTGGTGAGTGGACAGGGCTGGTTCTGTGGGGTGAGAATGAACCACTGTGGCACCGATGGTGGCAAGCTTTGTGTTCGTACCTCCCAAGAGACTAATCCGAAGCGCCCATGTCTTAATATCGACAGTCTCCCTTCCTGAACTCACTGAACTGGTCTCGGGATTGGAGTGTTTGGAGTCCCCTCTGTTTGCTGTACTGAAAGACCTCAGCATCCATGCCAAGGCAGCTCTGGCAGAAGTGTCTCAGGGCTACCATGACAACCATGGGCCTATCCCACATGGTATCTGCTCCCACCCATGTTGTTGGGCGCCCTTTACACCTGGCTTTCGGAACTGGAATAGATACTGATAATCTGGGTGTGGAGGAAATCTCTGCAGTTCCAGTGTCATGGACAGACCATTATCTGGTGACGTTTAGACTCAGAAGAACTCAGAGGCTTTGCAGGAATGGGGGAGAGACTAAGATGATTCATCCCAGAAGGCTGATGGATCCAACTGGTTTTCTGACAGCTTTTGAGGAGTTTCCTATCACCTTGGCAAGTGATTCTGTTGAAGCCCTGGTTGATCTCTGGAATGGGGAAATGGCAAAAGCCATTGACAGGATTACTCCTAAATGTCTCCTCCCACAAAGGAGAGCCAAACTGGCTGCCTGGTTTACCAGGGAGCTGGTGACAGTGAAAGAAGCAGGACACAGACATGAGCAACAATGGCGGAAAACTTGGAATGAATCTGACCGGACACAGGCTAGGATCCATTGGAACGCCCGTTCCATGACTGCAGCAGTAGCAAAGAAGTCATTCTTTTCTGCCATCATTGCATCTGCACAGAGTCACCCAATGGAGATTCTTCAAGTGCTCAAGGACCTACTACGTGCTGGCCTGCAGGAACAGAATGCAAACCACATTGTAGCTCATGGTGAAGAATTTGCATGACACTTTGCAGACAAAATTGCTTCGATCCACTTTGAATTGGATGCTGCAGTTGATACTGGCCCTATCAATGTAACTACAACCCCTGTTTGCCTTGTGTTCATGGATGAGTTCCAGTTTCTGTAGGGTGATGACGACAAAACCCTTGGAAAGGTAAAGGGTACCACATTTCTGGACCCTTGTCTGTCCTAGCTTATAAAAGCTGCCAGAAAGGGACTAGTTGAGTGGGTAGGAGGTGTGGTGAATGCCTCCTTGAAACAGGGTATGAGCACAGCATGGCTAAAAGATGCAATGGTAAGACCACTGTTGAAAAAGCCCCCGCAATACTGAATAATTATCAACCTATCTCTAGTATTTTGTTCTAAGGCAAGGTGTTAAAGTGGATCATGGCTTCCCAGCTCCACGGGTTCCTGGATGAGACTGATTATCTAGATACATTTCAGTCTAGAATCAGGCCTGGTTATGGGATGGAGACTGCTCTGGTTGCCTTGGTAAATGACCTATGCCAGGAATTTGAGAAGGGGAGTATGATCCTGTTAGTTCTTCTGGATCTCTCAGGAACTTTCAATACCATTGACCATGGTATCTTTCTGGGATGAGACTTGGAGGCACAGTTTCACAGAGGCTAAGGTCCTTCCTGGGGGAGAGAATTCAGAAGGTGGTGCTGGGAGGTGTCCATGCAACACCCTGGCTGCTGGCCTGTGCTGTTTCTCAGGGTTCTGTTTTGTCTTCTCTTTTATTTAACATCTACATGAAACCACTGGGAGAGATTGTCTGGAGTTTTGGGGTTCATGGTTGCCAATATGCGGATGACATCCAACTCTATCTTTCCCTGCCATCTGAGGAAGCGGTTTCAGCTCTACATCAGTGTCTGGTTTCTGTAATGAACTGGATGGACGTAAATAAATGGAAACTTAATCCAAGACAGAGGTGCTCCTGGTAAATTGAAAAGCAAGTCAAAGAACAGGGATGCAGCTGTGCTAGATGGGGTGACAATCCCCCTGAAACTCCAGGTGCGCACCCTGGGGATACTCCTGGATTCATCTCAGAGTCTGGATGCCCAGGTTTCAGCTGTGGCCAGGAGTGTGTTCGCATAGTGTCCAGCTGTGCCTGTTCCATGGTGACACATACCTTCGTTACATGCCAGCTGGATTACTGTAACACACTCTACGTGGGGCTGCATTTGGAAAATGACAAGAAGCTTCCGTGGTCCAAAATGCAGCATCCAGATTACTGAGAATGAACACAGGGATCACACAACCCCTCTGTTACAGCACCTCCACAGGCTGCTGATCCATTTCCAGGAACAATTCAAACCGATGGTTCTAACATATAAAGCCCTAAATGGCTTGAGCCCAAACTATCTCAAGAACCACATCTCCCTGCTTGAGTGTTAAGGTCTTAAGGAGAGGCCTTCCTCTCAGTCCTGCCACCTTCACAGGTGTGTATAGTGGGGAGGGCCTTCTCTGTTCTGCTCCCAAACTCTTGAACTCCCACACGAGGCTAGATTGGCCCCATCTTTACTATCCTTCTGTTAAGCAGGCAAATACCTTTCTCTTCAGGCAAGCTTTCCCTGAGCTAATGGCTATCAAGTTGTTGTTTTTTTAAATGAATTGTTTTCTCTTATTGCATTTAATGTGTTTTGGCGTTGCTTATATTTTTTAGTATTGGATTCATTAAATAGAGTATTTTAATTATTATAAGCTGTGTTGGGGTTTTTTAAGGAGAAAGGCAAGTTAAAAATATATTCAATCAATCAATCAATCCTGGGCAGGCACATAGAGAGAGATCCTGGGACTCAAGCTGTTTAGGGCTTTATAGGTCAAAGCCAGCACTTTGAACTGTGCCTGACATGGACTGGCCCTGATTAACAATCTGGCTGCCACATTTTGCACCCAGTGAAATATCTGGACACTTTCCAAAGGCAGACCCATGTAGAGCGTGTTACAGTAATGCAGCTGGGATGTAACTTGGGCACGTGTCACCTCTGCCAGATCAGACCTCTCCAGAAACGGGCACAGCTGGTGTACTAGTTTTAATTATGTAAAAGTACTCCTGACCACATTTGAAACTCCTAGTTTTAATTGTGTAAAAGTACTCCTGACCACATTTGAAACCTGGGCAGTGGAACTCAGAGATGCGTCTAGAAACACACCCAAGTTGTGCACCTGTGTTTTCAGAGGGAGGTATTCCAATGCAGCACAGACTGGATCTCTGTTTCTTGATGTTTCTTTCAACTGAGCGGAAGCATCTCTGTCTTGTCTGGATTAAATTTTGGGTTGACACCAGACATTGATCTAGAGCTGAAACAGCTTCCTTGGATTTAGATGGGAAAGATAAGAATTGGGTGGCATCTGCATACTGAAGACATTGAATCCCAAAACTCTAGAGAACCTCTCCCAGTAGTTTCATATAGATGCTAAACACCACAGAAGACAAAACAGAACCCAGTCCAGCAGCCAGGGTGTTCAACAAGAGTTCCCCAGCACCCACTTCTGAGTCCTTCCCTCGCTGGGCCAGAAGGATACCATCGTTTATGGTATTGAAAGCCACTGATAGATCCAGCAGAACCAGGAGGGACACAGTCCCTCTGTCCAGTTCCTGGTGCAGATCATTATCCATCAAGACAACCAAAGCTGTCTCTGAAGCCAGATTGAAATAGGTCTAGACCGGCCATTCTCCATCTTGTTTGGGCCTCAGCTCTTTTAGGAGCTCTTCTCAGGTTCCAGGCCCCCCTGTCAAACAAGGATACAACGTGAACAAGTATCTTTCAGAAACTTCTGTTTCAGTCCATGGCCCCTTTCAAATGTGCCAGCCCCCCCGGGGGCCATATGGCCTGCACTGAGAATGGCTGATCTAGATAATCTGTCTCATCCAGGAACCCCTGGAACTGAGATCTGCTTCAGCATCCCTAAGGAACCTAGGATTTTCCCCACCATCCAGTTACCTGGGATGACTTGAGATAAGACAAAATCTCTTGCTCCTTCGTCTCTGTGTGGGACTGTTGGAGGCCAGAAGGAAGGTGAGGGCAGAAAGGGGCAGCTGTCTTAAAAACAAGGCTTGTAAATTGTTTGCCATGTTGTCTGTGCAGAAAGTACTGATGGTGGTAATTCCCTGCCATTTGCTAAGCAGATATTTTAACCGATGGCCAAGACAGGTCTGTTTCCTCTCAACCACATCCAGCCTCCTGATTTAACCAGGACTGCCATGATATGCTGGGCGGCGCAATGGCTAAACTGCAGTACAGTATTGCAGTCAGAGGCACTTCAGCCTCGTGTCAGAGGCTCTGCTCACGACCTCAGTTTGATCCCTAGGGCTTCAAGCAGCCCTCTGGAAGAGGACGCAGCCTTCCATCCTTCTGAGGTGGGTCAAGTGAGTGCCCCGCTTGCTCAGGGGGGCGCAGCCTGCAGAGTTAAAACTCCAAAGCGCCCAATGAGAGCGGTCACCGCTATGGGGCGGTAGGTAAGCAGCCCGCTTTGCATTGCTGTTTAGGCTGAAAATCTGCAACCACTTGCTTTTTCTTTCTTTCTTTCTTTCTTCGCCCGAGGGTGTGCCTCATTCTGCAGAGCTCAGAGCGGCGCCTTTCAAAGACGTATAGGAAGTGTTGAGGGGAGGTATGGGCGAGGCTGACGTCAACAAGGTAGGGATGTGTAGTGGGCCGGGCTTTATAGAAAGTTGAGAAACTTCGCAGAACTCGTAAATCTCAGGAAAAGTACAAGCTCCTTCTCCCGCCGCGCTTCTTGCTGGAGAAATTGCCACGGCTCCTGATTTCGGCGTGGTGGGTCGACGGGCCTTTCTTGTTTTCTACTTTTATCGCGAGTTTGGGCTGGAGAGGAAAGAAATCGCGGCTCGGGACTCTTCGGAGCCGGCCAGAAACTCCTGCCTCGCTCCCAGGACGTGAAGTCTCCGCGGTGAAAAAGTGAAGCGGACTGGCGCGATCCTAGAGCGCCGGTTTACGATGGTGCTGGCGCTTTGGCTGGCATTTTGTGCTTGCTGGCTGGCAAA